GAGTTTCTGTGTCATAACAGGGCTCACGCGTCTCATCTCTACACACGGAGTCACTCTTCAAATCGACTTCACATCTTCCTTTGGCATAATGTGACTGCTGGACTCATGAGCTTGTTAACGACTTCAATCTGCTCTCTAGAGAAATATTCCTCCAGCAATTGGTCTTAGATCCTGAGTAAATAATACTTTTCAGACATGGAAGGAACATTAATTCTCATATTCCTACCCATCTGCCAATACACGAGTCCATGAGCCAATTCCAGCCATGTCGTGCTCCCCTTTGCATGAGTCAGTCTGTGTTTGCAAACGTCATCTATATTTCTGGAATGATTCACAGAGTCCTAATCGGCCTCTGCACAGGGACAAGGGACATTAAGGACCAAGGAACGGGACCATGGCTCTGCTCCAAGCCACCAGCTCCTATGTGTCCCCTACCGTCTTTCTAGATCATTCCTTGGACTCTGCTTCATACCCTTTTAGGAGTCACTGGCTCAATGTCATCAACCATCAGCGCTGGGAAACACTGCCAACCCTGTGGCCACAGCCTGACTGCTAAGCTGCTCTCCAGGCTGGCTCCTGCTCTCCCTGCTTATTTGTGCTCAAACACCCAGTCCAAGGCTAGGCTGCCCAGTAACCTCAGGGTCTAAGACAATGGAAGTCCCTCAGCACCCATCTCTGGGATATCTGAGGACAGCCTCACGAAGAAACACACCTAGGGGCCAAAGTGGGACTATGAACTTAGAGGGGACTAATGCCGCACCATTCCAGGTGAGGACCACAGGTCAGTCAGCGCAGTCAGGGAAGGACCAGGAGAAGCGCCAGGGTGGGCGGTGGAGGGGCAGTCTGGCTCCAGGCTGTGTCTGTCCCACCACCCACTGCTGCTGCTCAGGTGAGAAGTCTGTGCATCTCCAGAACAGAGCAGGTGGCCTCGACGTTCTCTGACCCTCAGTTCTCTGCGTCTGTCTCGTGACATCCACCTGCCTTGGTCTTTTAATCACTCAGTTGCTGAGAGGTGAAGAGTGCCAACCCTGATTGAGGATGATTTTAGAGGTATTAAAGGTAGCACCCAGGCAACCCTTCTCTCTGTTATCTGCACAGCGGAGTTACCAAACCCTCATCACAACAGCACAGCTCCAGCCCCGTGGAGGAAGGAGCTGCTCGTAACTTAACTGTGAACCTGAGACTCAGGACACAACCTACCTGTGGTGGAAAGATGGCCAGAGGCTCCAAGGCAGTGACAGGCTGGTGATGTCCCCTGGACAACAGGACCTCATCTTTAATCTTTATCACAAGGAATGAACAGGACCGCCTATCAGTGGTGAAAACTGGAACCCCAGTGAGTGCAGCCGCAGTGACCAGTCAACCTGAATGTGCTCTGTGAGTATTTTCTGTTCTCCACAGCCCAGGCTGCACCCAAATTCATCCGGCCAGAGAAAGGCCATTCAGTCTCTCTGGGTTGAAGTGCACAGACCTTACCCTGGAGACCCTGGCTTGGCACGAATTCTTTGCCCCAGGCAAACCCGGTCAGGCAGCTTGACAAGAGTAGGAGGGAGGGCACCCTGTCTTGAGATGCCATGATCAACAACCTGTGATGAGAGAACAGTTAGTGTTCAAATGTCTCAGACTCAGGTTATGGTGCAGTTTTTGGTTTGTTTTTTAAGGATCTCCCTTTGTTGCCAGGCTGAAGTTCACTGGTGGATTCCTATACTCACTGTACCTTGAACTCCTGGAGTCAGTGATCCTGCTGCTCATTCTCCTGAGTAGCTAGACTTATAGGCACGCACAATCAAGCCCAGTTGGTTAATTTTCTGGAGAGATGGGTCTGGCTGTGTTGCCCAGGCTGGTCTCAACTCCTAGCCTCAGGAATCCTCCTACTCAGCCTCCAAACCACTGGATTATAGGCAGACCCATCATCCTGTCCAGATTGTATTTTTTAACTCTTTGAATGATTCAGAGGGTCACTGTGACCCTTCTACAGACCAGAAGCCCCTTTTCCTCGATGACATCACATGTGGCTTTATTCTCTTTGTCCAATGGCCCCGACGACCCACCATTTCCCCGACTCCTCTAATTACCGTCCAAGGGCAACCTCAACCTCACCTGCCACGCGGCCTCTAACCCGCCTGCACAGTATTCCTGGCTTATCAATGGGAGTCTCCAGATACCCACACAAGAGCTCTTCATCCCCAATGTCACTGTGAATAATAGCGGATCCTATGCCTGTGTTGCCCACAACTCTGCCACTGGCCTCAATAGGACCACAGTCATCAATATCACAGTTTCTGGTAAGTGAATCCCTGGAGGATTGGCATTAAGTTTTGGTATGGACTTTGTCTGGTGTTCAGAGAAGAGCCATAAAGAAATTTTCTTCCCCAGCCTGTGTCCTGGGCACAAATATGTTCCAGGTTCCCCCTCCCACCCCTAGCCCTCCCACTCCATCTCTGCAGACTATCACCTCCTCTGGCTTCTCTGATTTCACACACCTGATCTTGGGTCCAGCCTGGTGTGTGGGGAGGGGGTTCCCTCAGCCCCAGACAGCCCCATCTAGTGGGAGGGGCTTCATAGAGGTCAGAGGAGGAAAGGTAAATGGCTTCTCTGTGTCATAAACTTGTCCCTTTCTGTCACCTTTTTGTTTTTTTTTTTTACCTCCTCCATGAGCTACAAGGAAAATACCAGGCTTTGAAACAAGCTTATGCTTTTTCTCCAAATTAGAGGAGGAAACCCCCTTGGAGGAGGGATGAGCATATGAGAGTTCTGCTCCCTGCTCTGCTCCTGGCTTACCTGGTGACTGGCTCTGCTCTGACTCTATCTAGGGTATAACAGGCCATGTGGAGAAGGTGCCCGGGTGGCCTGGCCTGAATCTGGCCACACTGTGCTGCCAATCAATGCCAGAGCCTTCCCCTGGTGAAGCTGCAGGGAAATGGGAAGAGAGAGAGCCTGGGGCCAGACTCCTGAGCTGTGTCCTGGCTCCAAAGTCATCAACTTTGTGAGGCTGTGGACACAGCACATGTGACACACGACAGAGAACAGCAAGTGATACACACATGGAGAAACAGGGAGATCCACCCATGGAATCTCTGAATGGGAGAGAACGGCCAGTGCCAAAAATTTGTGTTTATAGAGAGGGCAAGAGTTCTAGCCACTATATAGTATGCGTATACACACACATACATGCACAATATAAAACATACAATATACGCCCCTATATATACATCTACATTATATATATAGTGTGTAACATACATTTTATCATATTAATCCTTTTTCAGTGGACAGTCCAGTGGCATTAGGTACATTCACATTGTTCTGCTATCACCACCGTCATCCATTCATAGACCTCTTTTTTTCCTTCCAAACTGAATCTCTGTGCACATTGAACACCTGGGCAGAGCTGCCTCACCTCCAGGCCCTGCAGTCTGAGAACTCAACTGACCCCTAGACTTGCTCCTGATCTTCCTGTGTTATTTCCACTCAACACCCAGGCCCACTATCACCCATCTCTAGGGCATCCTTGAGAAGTGAGGCCTCAGAGAAAACACCCCCCAGCTGGGCAATGTAGACTGTGCAGCTGGAAGGGGTCAGCACCCATGTCTCAAGGTCACTCAGGCAGTCAGCAAGTCAGGGAAAGACTAGGAGAGTAGTCAGGAATCTCTGACTCCTGGTCCTGTGTCTGTCCACAACCCAAGGCTATGGTATAATTTGGGCTTGAGAATGTCTGTGCATCTCCCAGGTGGCTTCACATTCTCTGAGCCCTGAGATCATTGTGCATCTGTCTTGTGACACGCATGCCTGCTTCAGTCTACTAAGGACTGATGTTGGCTGAGAAGTAAGACCCACTTCTGGGTAAGACCACTAACTGTGGTTGAATGATACCTTTGGAGGAATCAAGGTACCACACAGGACAACCTTCTCTCTGTTATCTGCACAGCAGAGTTACCCAAACCGTCCATCAGAACCAACAACTCCAGCCCCGTGGAGAATGAGGACTCCGTAGCATTAACCTGTGAACCAGAGACTCAGGACACTACCTATGTATGGTGGATAAATGGCCAGAGGCTCCAAGACAGTGACAGGCTAGTGACGTCCCTGGACAACAGGACCCTCATTTTACTCAATATCACAAGGAATGACACAGGACCCTATCAGTGTGAAAACAGGAACCCAGTGAGTGGCAGCCGCAGTGACCCACTCACCCTGAATGTGCTCTGTGAGTATTTTCTGTTCCTCCATGGCCCAGGCAGCAGCCCAAATTCACATGGCCAGAGACCAGACCACTCAGTCTCTCTTGTGTCCAAGTATACAGACCCTCACCCCTGGACACCCAAGCTGGCCATGGCTTCCCGCCCCAGGCAAACCCAGGCCAGCCCAGCCTTGACCAAGAATAGGAGAGAGGGGCTGCTCCTGTCTTGAGATGCTCATGGTCAACAACCTGTGATGAGAGAAACAAGTTGATATCTCAAACACAGGTTATAGTTGGGAATTCTTCTTCTTCTTCTTTTTTTTTTTTTTTCTTTAAAAGACAAGGTCTCACTCTATGACCCAGGCTGAGTGCACTGGTGGGATCATAGCTCATTGTAACCATGAACTCCTGGGCTCAAGCCATCTTCCTGCCTCATCCTCCTGAGTAGCTAGGACTATAGGCACACACAATCAAGCCCAGTTAGTTTTTAATTTTCTGGAGAGATGAGGTCTGGCTGTGCTGCCCAGGCTGGTCTCAAACTCCTAGCCTCAGGCAATCCTCCTACCTCAGCCTCCCAAACCACTGGATTATAGGCAAGAGCCACCATCCCTGTCCAGATTGTAATTTTTTAAACACTGTTGTGACATGATTCAGAGGGTCACTGTGACCCTTCTACAGACCAGGAACTTCCCCTTTCCTCTGATGACATCCCATGTGGCTTTATTCTCTTTGTCCAGATGGCCCCGACGACCCCACCATTTCCCCCCCAGACTCCTATTACCGTCAAGGGGCAAACCTCAACCTCACCTGCCACGCGGCCTCTAACCCGCCTGCACAGTATTCCTGGCTTATCAATGGGAGTCTCCAGATACCCACACAAGAGCTCTTCGTCCCCAACATCACTGTGAATAATAGCGGATCCTATGCCTGTGTTGCCCACAACTCTGCCACTGGCCGCAATAGGACCACAGTCAAGAATATCACAGTTTCTGGTAAATGAATCCCTGGAGGATTGGCATTAAGTTTTGGTATGGACTATGTCTGGTGTT